TGATCCAACGGTGCTCGAACCTATCGCCTCTCGGTTCTGAGTCCGACGCTCTACCGACCCAATAACCCTGGCCCGAAACGACGTGTGGTAAATTCCTTGTTCAAAGGAATTTGTGATAAAGACACGGATTGCCGACAGCGAGAATCGAACTCGGTACCTCCTGAGTTCGATTTCGCAGCTGACCTCTTATGCACTCTGCCACCACGCCACGGGAATTACAGTGGAACTCGTGAAATCGGGACGTCAAGCACTGACCGGGATGTTAGCACTCTTGTTCTGACGCTGTCTGAAGGAATTTATAATTCCAGAAGACTGGATTACCGCTTTGCTGATTCTATTCCAACAAGAAAGGCGACAGAGAGGATTTGAAGATGTATAGGCCGATCAGTTTCTTACCAGTCGTCTAAGGCTCTTCACGAAGGTGTTGACGAGCTTACTTCAACTCACTAAGGCAAACGGAACGCTGCACAGTCGAAAGAGCTAGCAGAGTTCAAACGTGGATTTGATCCGGTGGATCATCTCCAGGTGGTACAGAAAGTTATTCAACAGTGAATATGAACTTCCTCTCTTTTGTTCGTCGATTTCGAGAGGGCTTTCGATTCTATATAAATTTTTTCTGTACTGGATTCGTTGAGGCGCTAGGGAACAGAAGAAACATACAGTGACCTCATTGTCATGATTTACAAGCTAGTTTGAAGGTTCACTAAGGCACCAGTAAGTTAAAATCAAAAGGAGCGTTCACCAAACAAAGGCAGTATCACCTAAGTTGTTCAGCACAACCCTAGAGTAGATTCATGGTTGTTGTAATGATTCATGGTTCGGGGCACCAAATACAATGCTTTTCACGGCATAGACCGCAGCATCGACAGGGCTGGACTGAGAACAATTGACTGCTTGAAGGCATTTGTGTCCAATAAGCGAACAGTGCAAGATTTTCAACTTGCTCATCATGTACAGTCAAGACGTTGTTACATTAACGGAACAAAATATAATGTTACATTGAAATAAGTCGGATTTTAGTCATTTTGACCTGATTTTGCGTATCCGTTCTATGATTGCGCCCCAGATTTCACTGATGACAACGGAAGATGGGTATTCGTTGCGCATCCGGTGTTTCATTGCCAGTATATGTAAGGACTCCTTCGTCAGCATGCCTAATTCAGATTGGTCTTTGTCTACAACAGACATATTGGGCGCAATCACAAAGCGTACACGGGATTATGCAGTATGAATCTGCTGAGGTTGAAAGGCATTGTGAAATCATTCATTTACGGCGGCTGCTGTATCAGTTTGACTGCGGGACTTAACTACCGTTCTGAACCTCTTCTGCCGTTGTGTAGAAGACCTGTAAAAAAACTAACGAGCTTAGTGAGCTATTTTCTCCTGAGTCAGGTTTATTTGAAAATTAACATTATGTATAGCTGTTAATGATTTCGGCTAATTTATCTTCAGATTTATGAGATTAACAAAATTTTTACATATCTGGCGATGTGATGGTGGGAAATCGTTATTAGCCGAAAAAAACAAGAAGCTGTTAACAGTCAGTCTTGCAATGACGGATTGTGTCAGCCATCCGCGGCCGTTTTTTCAGAAAATCTTGATCATTTTTCCTTTTCGGTTAAAGCCCCTGTCCGCCAACATGCAGAATTATCTATCACTTAAAGTGTCAGTGTCTTATGTTCTTGTTTTTTAGCTAAGGATATGTATAAATGCTTCTTGGAATTGAGTTGTGAAACTCATAAGCGGGCCGGATGTAATTGGCGGAATACTTAGCGAAATTATTGAGCAAGTCATCTTCATATTTAATGGGGCTGAGCGAATCTCTGAAATATGCAATGATGGATCAGGTCTCGTTGCTAGCCTTTAGGTTTGCACTGTTGTTGCCACGTTTCCCCCAAACGATGTTACTCGGTTCGTAAGGGAAGTTATGTTTTGGAGTCTGTGGTGATTCGCTTATCGAAAATTACCATACCTGTTAAATCCATCCAGTTTGGATTTCGTCTATAGGCTTAGAAGGCCGTGAAACGCGTTTGCTTACTTTAATCTGAAAATATATCATCCGGTCTGAGGACTTTTAACACGCACGAATATACCAAGCTCCGATCAGCGTTAATGACTTCGTGATCGTTGTCGACCTGTAGTGCAGAGCATGGCTACAGGCCTACGGTCGTGCGCATTGGGACACTTAAACTTCGCATAATGCAGTTTCACATTTCACGCTTTTCACAGTGCCGCTAGCTACCTGAGGAGCAAATCGTAAAGTTTATAATCGTAAAGTTTTTTTGCCGTCAAGCATTTGCGGCAATGTGTCCGGACGATCGACGTCTAGCCCACCACGAATTTGTCCGAGCTTACAGGACCGGACCCCGAGAGGAGACCTATCCTGATTAGAGAATAATGCTTCACGGTTTCGTTGTTGAACGTTCTCGACGTTTCGCGTCGCAGTTACTCTTGTTTAAGTGTTTTTTTTCAGAGCTGCTAAGATCATGTCTCGTTGCGGACCGATCGTGTCGTTCGAAGTCGCCAAGGAAGCGGCGTTGTACAACGGTCTTGCCAGATGGATATATGATCAGTCGCCGGTGTTTTCGCAAGAAAATGCTCCGAGCGCTCGTGCGCGCCTGAACACTTCTGATCAAGTCAGTACTCCATCGGAGTACCGCTACTCTTTGAACTCACCGCCTCTTTTCGATCAAAAGAAGTCGAACACATCCGTGTCCGCCTTGTCCTACACTTCGTCGCCCTCCTATTACGACCAGCGAACGTATTCGGACTCGATGCCGCCCAGACAAGACCAGCTGGCGGCGCAGGCTGCCGCCGTTGCTGCCAGCCGAACATATCCGGTTCAGGAGACGAGTGTCGGTGCAAGTGCTTATTCAGTGGCGCTGCCCATTAACAAGAACGCCGTCGGCAACGAACGGTCGTTTTCCACATCGAACCTGATGTACGAGGACAAGCATCACGCCAGGGGCAGCGTGGACGCCATGCAGTCGGTCTACCAGGCTGGCAGCGGCGGTGGCGCGTCGGTGCCGTGCGTGTCATTGCCTTTTCAGAGGTCCACATATTCGTTGCCTCGCGCAACTCCTCCGTCCGGCTACGACGAGCGTGCGTACGCGACCACGACACAAGTCGCCAGCGACAGCGGTCATTTCGAGTCGCCGCCGTACTACGGAGCGACACCTTCCGGTTCCGGTTCCGGTTCCGCGTCGACACAGGCAAAGCTACGCGACCAGCAGCACGGTGTCCGTTCCGAGGTGCGCCCTGCCGGTCCCCGTCCGTCCGTCGGTGCAGGCGTTGCTTCGATTTCAGACACCGACGTGTCGGCGATGACCACCGCCCCTTATCACAGGGATATGTTGCAGCTGCAGAGTCAAGAAAGCCGTCGGAGTCCTTCCGTTCAGGTATAGCCCCGTTTGCCATGTATGCTCACAATAGCACGGTTTCTTATGATGACCGGCCTTTGGGCGACCGATTTTTCGTCACGATGTGTTCACTGCTACCAGAACGTTGCAGAAGGTGAAGGGTTGACAAACAGTAGTTAGCTCACTTACTTAAGTGATTATGTACTTGGGACACACTTCTGAACTTTATTGCCGTGCCCTTTCGCGGAAGTTCAGCCGCGAACGAATAACTACTTTGAGTTTCGATTTCAGACTTTCGGGACTTTTCCAACTGACACACATGGGCTCCATGTTTACCTGTGTCTTTGTGTGCTGTCTGAAGTCTGAAACCTAACGTTTCTGTTCGTTCCCGACTGAACGTTCCCGAAATGGTAGAGATATCACGATCGGTGGTATGTGTTCATGCGAACCACGACTTACGTTAGGAGCTACCTTCTGCATGCCTTCGGGTAACACGAATTTTGCGATCGGCTTTCACTGACTGTCATTCATTAATCACACGATTTTGCTTGCTTGCATACGGTAGTACATTAACGTGTTTAAAGGTCATTCCTGTTATTAGTTTCATTCACAGCATGCTTGTATATTATAATAAAGCAAACCAGCGTGGTACGATACAGATGGTGAAAAAATAGACAAATAAAACAGATGTTTAATCTGGTCCTTCGACCTTCCTGGTGAAATGGATCTCCGTAAAGGAATGAATAAACAACAGCTACTTTCTTATTTTCATGAATTCTAACTGCTCTCTCTCTAATGTCGCGCGTGCAAATACAAAATTGTTGAAGAATAGTATTAATGTTACACGATACGTCAATGTTCAGTTGTGAACAAAGCGAGACTGCTGTTGGGCTGTATGCCTTGCTGATGACCGCTGTTGTGTTGTGTTCGAGTAACGTATTCGTGTAGGGTTGAATTTTCGCATATTGAGGTCTGACTGCGTAGCCCTTCACGAAACTTTGTCGGTTTCAAAGTGTAGAGATTTGAGTGTAAAATTTACGCGCAGATAAGTGAATGGATTGCACGGGCATGACAGACGTACTCATCAGTTTGGATGGGGATGGCAACGTGTTTTACGGACCGAAAACCGGTGTCAAGGTTTTCCGGTCATCTTTTGCCTATCGAGCTTTTCCCTAGTTCTCAACAGCCGAGTGACAGAGGAAGTTACTTTATCCATTTCCTCATATCATGCACTGAGCCTCGTTTCACCAGATCTTCCGTCCATCTCGTCCGCTGAACTACCGCTTTTTCGTTCACGCGGTTGACGATACAGCTGCAGAAAATTTTTACAGTGCTTTGCTCAAGAAATCATACTAGTGATGATTTTAAATTTTTCATCCGTCCGTGTGTCTTTTGTTCAAATATCCCTACAGCGAACTGCACCAGTTCGGTAAGATGGTTTGTCAGCCTCGGTTGCCAAAGTCCAGTTAAACGGTCATCTTCGGATTCATCTAGTAAGTAACAGGCTTAGTCATCGCTGCCAAGTTCAGGCATGGCTCAGTGTCTTTCGTAGCACATTTCACTGATTTTACCGCGGTGTGTGATCTCGTACTTGGTTCGTTGTTATCTTCGCGATCGACATGTTCAGCATGCGACAACGTTGTGAAATGC